TATTAATAATTGCCTTATTCTGTCTGTGTGAAGTTCACTGTGTGAAGTTCACGGATAGATTTTGGTCAGAATGGATAAAATAAAAAAAAGTGTCAAGGGATGGGAATCGAACCCACGACCTTCCGCTTACCGGGCAGATGCCATGACCACTAGCCCACATGACCACAATTTATAATTGTAACAAATAGTATTTGAATCAAAACATTCAATCGGGTAAAACACGGGCGTTGCCCGGGTCATTCGGCTAGTATATTATAAAGAGATAAAATACACATTTTCAAACCACACAATTCTATAAATGAGAAAACCTCTAGAGAAATATATATTTATATATGATATATGCTATTTGCATATATCTATAATTGAAATAAAATATTATATTCAGATATATTCAAATAGTATATCTCATATATAAAACGACATTTGAAAATCATCCCACATATGTTTCTTTTCAACGAAAAATAAAAATTTATTTAAAGGAGAAATATGTCCAGGATAGCCTAGTGGACATGGCATCTGCCCGGTAAGCGGAACAATGTGGGTTCAATTCCCATCCCCGGACACTTTTATTTTTCCGTTTATCATTAGTCTTCACAATCCATCCTTTCATACCTCATCCCTAAGGTTAGAAATATTCGTTTTTTTCTCCTTAAAACAAATTTTGATTTTTCGTTGAAAAGAAACCCATGCGGGATAATTTTCAAATGTCGTTTTACAATCACAAGCCGAATTATATTATATATCTCATATATATGTTCGTATTTCTTTTAAGAATCATTTGAGTTGAACCTGTAGAAGATTTGTGTAGTGTGAAAGTTTATCAAGTTATTATACAATGTGTAAAAGAAAAATTTCTCCTTAGCTATATTTACCTCATTGTTATATAAACAATATCATTATTGAATAATATTTTAATAACAACAACCACAAAAAGGCTTTTATTAGGGCCCATTGCCCTCTATGGATTCGCCATACAAAATAATACAGTAATATTTTTCTCCCTTTCCCCTTGTGCACGTGAGGCTTTGTTTGAAAAGGGATTTATTTACACATCTGTTCTAAAACTTTCCTCACTACCTCTTTTATGTATGAATCTATTTATAATTGATCTCTAGATATTATAGAGTTCTATTGCTCTATGAATATTTTAATAAAGCTACTTATAATTTACTACCTTATACTTCTTTTCATTATTTATGGAGTTACTATTTTAAAAATCCCATCAAATTGATGAGGGGTTTGTGGCCTAATTTAGTAACAAGAGGATTTAAATGAAAACCAAGACTTTAAAAGAGAGGCAGGCAGGGTTATAAAAAGACAGAAAGGGGAGCTGAGGGAAACAATGGAACCAAGTTCTGGAGTCAGCAGGTGGAGTTGCTGGTGACATGATGACAGACTTCTAAATCTGGATACAGCCTGGAATACTCTGAACTATGGGGGATACCTGACACTTATTGATGAGCAGTATCACAGTTACCTTAGAGAATTGGTCTCAAATACACTGATTTGTAACTTTAAAATACATTGTACTGGGATAAGGTGCATACATTATGAAAAAGGCATCTCCTTATCATGCAACTGAAGGGTTGCTGATGGTTTGCGCCACCCATCGTAATATATATCAACTATATAAATACCCATTCTTGATTAGGGGTGTCGGCAGGATTAGCTGTGCAAACAGAATATGCCAATTGGTCACTTATCGGGCTATTTGGTTCACTTCTGCCTGAAAATATGACGATAATTCCTATCGTCATAATTCTATATCTTATCAAAGTTTCGCCCAGATAGGTAAAATATTGTGTAAACATTCTTGATTAATTAAGGATGGGTATTTGACCAATTCTGTAATAATTAAAAATCAACAGGAATTGTTTATATTTATTCCGATAGCCATCAGCAACTTTCAATTGCACGATAAGAAGATGCCTTTTTAATAATTTAAAATACATGTTTAAAAGTGAAATCATCAGGTTCTTCCAAGGATAAGTTTCTTTTTAAAGAATTTAATTCATATCTTTAGCTTCGGGCGCATGAAAGCTCCTCTGAGGTAAAAAGAACTTTCATTCCCGACAGCTAGAGATTCGTTAATTGAATTCTTTAAAAAGAAACCTATTCCTAGAAGCTTGATGTGTTCATTTTAAATACTGATAAATATATTCTCAGATATGGTTTATATCATAACGGAAATATTTTGGATATTTTTATTCCCACAAGTAACATTATTAGAAATGGGTCGCACGTTAGCTTAATTTTCACAAGGTTTAATAAAATTGTGCTAGATAAATTATTGGGTTTCGGCTGGATATGCTATGCAAGCAGAATATGCCAGGTGTTGATATTAAAAATAAAGAAGGCATCTCCTGACCACGAGCACATGTGCTTTTTAGATGGCAGAGCGCCACTATTTTTGCTCCACTAGATGGCGCTCTGCCATCTAAAAAGCACATGTGCTCGTGGTCAGGAGATGCCTTCTTTATTTCTAATATATATATATAGTTGTATTGGATTCTGCTTGATATTTAAACTCATGATTTACCTTTTGATAAAAATTAGTTCTTAATAAATATTGCAAATTCTTGCTATGTATCATCCTGAATTTCTTATTGGAGTTCTAGAAAAATGAATCGCCTTCGCTCGGGTTCTTCCCAAGAGATGGTTTGTCCAAATACATATTGATTTAAAAATAACTTATTACTATTGTCGTATAGAGAGAGGCTGCCTGGCCGGCATTCGTAGTTCTTGAAAATAAAGATACTTAATTTAGGATATAGGCCAGATTGGAATGATATTGAGATATTCCACAGGAATTAAAAATTAGAAATATATATATTATTTTTAGAGGGATGGGTATCACGGAATATTTGGGAAAGAACTATAAATGTATTTGAAGATATTCCTCTAAATTACACTTCGTTTTTAAAAATCAAAAAGTAGTTATAAAGGGTAAGTATAAATTGTACATAATAGATATCGATTTATATATACTACTAGGCGAATGACCCGGCTTCGCCCGAGAAATCCCTTGGGTGCAATTTCCTTCATACTAGAAGTATATCAATAATAAATATTAGAAGTGCCATAGAATAGCAATACAGAAGTAACACATAAACTACAGGAAAAAAGTGTGTGTGATGGCAAAAATTGTATTATATTAGTGCTTAGGTATTTGATTTAATTAATATAGTTGGTATAATAATATATATTTATATTATATATATAATATAAATGAGTTTTAAAAATTGTAAAAAAATAAATGCATCGGCCGGGAATCGAACCCGGGCCGCCCGCGTGGCAGGCGAGCATTCTACCACTAAACCACCGATGCTTTAAAAAAATGGCCATATTTAGGTATTCATTCCATTCCGGATTAGTCCGCGTAAAAAAAGTTCTTTAAATGAAAAAAAAAAGAAATAGCCAAAAATACTAATCAAAATGCAGCCGAAAATTTTCCTCAGGTTCATAAAAAGCGACATGCAAAATTTGGTACCAATTGGTTCAGTAGTTTTTGAGTTTATCGCGAAACAGACAGACAGACATTGACTTTTATATATAGAGAGATTGTGAAATCTTTGTATATGTTATTATTATTTTAATATTTATTTTGTTCATAATTTCTCATTATATATATGTATAAATTATTTCAAAGATCATAGCCTTTTGTGAGTTAAATATTTATTTTTGACTTGTGCTTCAGATGTACAAAATTTGGAATATCGCGTGAGAACGCCCTTGGAACCTTAGAATAATTTTTAACGCCTTGCCAAATGTTTTAATTTTTGTTTGTTCCTGACGAGGACAAAAGCTTTTTGTTGAAACGTCGAGGTAATAAAAAGATTTACTGGCCGAAGTATCTTTATTTTCAAGAAATTATTACTATTGGTATTGTGTGTGTTGTTTTAGGAGTAGTTTTGTAGTAAAGATATTAATGTACTGATTAATTAGCATCATGATTATTTTCCCACCCCAGAATATGCAAATTAACCTGTTAGCAGACTAACTAAAGGCGCTCTCTCTCTAAGGTAGAAAGAATTAAACTGATTCCCTAAAGACCAACTTTTGTCAAAGTTTTATCTGTCGCAAATATCGTAGAAACGTATTCGGACAAAACGGAATATGCAAATTAACTTTTAACCGATTTCAATCATGTGCACATCGAGAGAATTTATTCCAACTAGATATTCTCTATGAAGCATTAAAGTTAATATAGTTACGTCAATTGATTTTTGACACGTATACGAAATAAAAATGGAATATGTAAAATAGACTGGTATCTGACGTATTTGCATATCAGAGGACGATAATATAGCATTAACTCCTTCCAGAACAAACTCTATATCGTGTCAATGATTCACCTGGATTGGTCAAATATGTGGAAACCTATGCGCTGAATAAACATGCGCAAAACAATAATTTATTCGTACTTAAATTTAATTTCTAAACTTAATTCTGTATATATATATATTTAAAATAAAAAATGCATATCCTGACCAGGAGAACATTTGTTTCACAGAAGGCAGAGCGCCATCTGTATATATAAATATAGGTATTGATATCTGGCGATTTCTCATCTTGTAATATATAGGTAATATTTTGTAGCTGAAAATGTTGATTGATGAACGATAAATTTGGAAAACATATAAAAATATAAAAGATTGAAAAAACCTTCTGCAATAAGTTTATTTAAAAAAAAACACTGCGAGCGACAAAGATCTCGTTTCTCTCAGCGGGCATAACTACATCTGAGGAGCTCTAGCTTGAGAGCCCGCAATGCTTTCATAAGGAAAAAACTTATTACGAAAGTTTTTTTATCTTCTTATAAAAGTATATCTAAAAATTTATTAAATTTGATGTACAAATATTAAACAAGAGTTTAGAAATCTCATAACAGATGGCACGCTAGTGTATCATAAATGTGCAAATATGTTGAATTAAAAATAAACTTGTATATCCTATTATATCCAATATAGATGTGTCGTATATAAATAGATATATAGAGAGGGGATATACAATTTGAGTCCCCCGGTATACTACAGCGGTCCCACGCCATTACCATATGTCTGCCATTTATTACAATAATTAGCTTAGTGAGAGATGAGCCGTGGGTGAAGGATCGCCCAGAGGTTTCTGATTATTGGCAGAAGTGCATTTGCTGATGAATTCTTCGATGTTCTCTCGGCCTAGTCACATTCTATATTAACTCATATTATGTAAATATTATTTATTCATATTGTTTGCTCAAGTGAATATTATCTGAAGATTATGGGTGGCCTAACATTCCATGTCATTTTATATTTTAAAAAGAATGATAGGCAAAGATCATTTCTAGCATAGAATGCATTCATGCATTTAACTTTTGATATACCAGGTGCGGATTTAACGGGGTCGTCAAACTCTAAATGAAGAGCTGCCTATGTCACATAGAACCAAAAAAAGCAAAGATTTATCAACGATAGAATGCGCTTTTTATTAAAAAACTTTTTTTTTAATTGTAATCTGGTTGTTCACATCTGTTTAACAAATTACTGTAGGACCTATCATTTTTCATCGAAGGAAAACAGAA